CACTGACGAAGTGCTTAGCTTGTTCACAGGATTGGGGATGATGCCAAATGGAGAGTGTTGGAGGGAAACTTGGCTTCAAAGTCGAAGATGTTTGACTAGACTTAAGGCAACCAGACTACCCGGAAGACTGGAGGATGCTTTTGACACGAGTGTTGCAGCAGAGATTTACGTGACGCATGGTATGAAATGAAATCATTTGATGAGGTGACATGTTAAACCATGACGAATTTAATGGAATATTTGAGAGATTGAGCTTTTCTAACCAGTTAAGACCGAGTAAATTTAAATCCTGATGTCTTGCGAAATAACACACACCATGAAATTCATGCTCACCAAAGTGAACACGGCAATTTATCTCACGCACGAGTTTCAGTATATCTCCAGAGGCATTTTTAGCGAAATGCTCCGTCGGCAGAATCTGTGGGCAACCAAGTGTGCGCCACGTGTTTCTGGAAATTAAGGTGATATCTGATGCCGTATCCATATGAAGGCGAATAGGTTTGCTGTTAATAAATGGCGTAATGTACTTGCGTTTGCTGGTGAAATTGACTTTGGAAGTTGTGAAAATGATCTTTACCCCAGAAGATTGTTTCGGTTTGAAAGGAATAAGTCTGTTACTCATCGAAGAATTTTTCTGTGATGGACAGTAACCCTCTTCATGTCCAAAACGGTGACATTTGCGGCATATATCTTTCTTGAAAGGACAAAATCATCTGTCATATAAATCTGAAGATGAATGGTCATAAGGACATGCTGGCCGACGATACCCAGATATACTGATTGTTACTGTACATCAATGGATTCAGAAACATGCACACTGAATGGTCGAGAGATCGGAGTTTCAAAAGACTGGAGACACTCAATGAGCCAAGGAGAAAATAAAAAACGAATGATATGAGAAAAATTTCTTCATCCAAGAAGTCATTTTCAAAGGCTGTGTAATCATATTTCTACTTGCCAAAATGCATATTATTATTATTATTGTTCTCTTGGATCCCAGGTGGAATATATAGGGCTTCAACAACACGTCTTTGCATTGTTCCCTTTTCTACTGTCCTCTTTACCTGGGCCCACGGCTGCCCTGTTGAAATTATTTGTAATAGTAGTATTAGTATTTCGCAATGACCGAATTACAAGAATTCAACCAAAACACAGAGAGAGATGAATTTAGGAATTTGTATTTGGCTGAATTATTATTCAATTCATATAAGAAATATATTAACAAGCAACAGTAAGTATTTAAACAATACAGAGATAGAAATTGTCAATCACCACATGCCCATAATCTCTTGTCTCCTCCATGTCACCCTTGGTCAATCCACCCGTAGTTTTCCATTCCAGTCCCACTGGAACGATGGCCTGGAGCGTGATGTCATTCTACGGTCTCCTCAGCGTACAGTACATATACTAGTCTGTTAGTGAGTAACTGGGAGGGAGGAGTGACATGAGAGATTCAAATACTTAGAATCTGTTTCACCTTTGTCACTATCACGTGTTCCTTTTGTTCCATTTACTGAGTTTTCATCTTATCACATCCTTCACAATTTAAGAACAGAATATCCGGCGAAGAGACTCTTTTCAAAGAATCTGTTATCAAGATTGACAATATATATATATATATATATATATATATACAGTTTTTAGAAAGAAATTGTATCCGCCGAGGAAATTGAATCATGGTTGTGATTACATGAAATGATAATGGTAGAATGAAATGCATTTAAGATCTTTGGGATTATAATCTGAAACAAATACAATCTCTACAAACAGATTCTTGAGAATTAATCTGATGCTCGCTAGTAACTGGCTACAGGACGAAGTTGCTTGCAGTTCTGGTGAGAAGTCATGACCAATGAGGTCCATCCAGTCGGGAGTGAGGATGGAGTTGCCAACAAAGGCATTGGTAGGTGGTCGCACTGAAATGAAGAATTGGTAGAAGTTAGAATTCATGGACCATTGAATCGGGTCCCAGTGGCTTAGTGGTCTACGAGCTCATCTTGTAACAGGAAGGTGCCGGGTTCGACCCCTGGTGGTGGGTGAGTACTGTTGATGAAACAATTTAGTTCAGAATCCTTCGCAATGGTGAGTTGGAGACAGTTGTTTCATGCAAGTAAGGTATCATCAAGTACTACGTACTTATCTCAGATAAGGAAAGTGTCGTCCACTTATGTTCTATAAATGTCAAAGTAACTGAAGGTTTGACCAAGCTGACAATTTTAAAGCTTTGCCTTAAAATAATCACCTAGCTGTTAACCCAGAGGCAATGCCATCTCTCTGTCTAAAAATCGCATTATTGAGGGTGAACTGAAAGTTCAACGAGCATCTCAATAAGAGTTCTTTGAGGTAGGTTGTCGGCAACCATATGTTCAAACTATGTATTATTAGTATTATATCCTTTAATTCCTAGAGGAACATAGGGCATCAGCCACGCGTCTCCATTGCCTTCGGTTTTCTGCCAACTTTCTCACCCCGCTTCGAGTTTGCCCATAAACTTTCATCTCCTCTTCAAATGACCTCCTCCATGTCACCCTCACTCTTGGACGACCAACTCGCCGCCTCCCTTTCGGGTTCCACTTGAGCAATGGCTTGTCTAGTGATGTCACTTGATGGTTTCCTCAGAGTATGGCCAATCCATCTCCATTTCTTCCTGCCTATTTGTTTCACAATCGGTTCCTAGTTGGTTCGCTCATTGCCAGGTCTTTTCTGTTCATCTGATCTTGAGTGGTATTGAGCGAAGACAAATGTTAATGAAGGTCTGAAGTTTGTCTGAGATGCTCTTTATGAAGCGCAGTGCAAGTCTCTGATCCGTATAGTAGCACTGACCTCACATTGGAATTGAAAATCCAGATCTTATTTTTGATGCTGATTGATGTTGACCACCACATAGACTTCAGAGTAATGAAAGCTTATCTTGCTTTTCCAATTCTTGCTTTGATATCCTCGTCAGTTCCGCCTGTAGTTGAAACGATGCTTCCCAGGTGGGCAGGTGAAGGAGGATGTTTCTTTCAGTTTCCTCCCATTTATGCGGATTGTTGTCTGTTGTTGCTATTTGTGTGGGCCAGGAATCTTCATCACCTCTGTTTTATCAATGTTCACTTGAAGTCCTATATTTGATGCATCTTCTGCCAGCTTGTTGCTTTTCACTTGCATATCTTCCAGTTTGTGGGAAATCAGATATATATCATCGGCGAAGTCCAGATCCTCCAAGCTTTTCGTGTGAGTCCATTTTTATGCCTGTTTCCTCATTGCCCGTCGTCTGTTGCATTATCCAATCTACTGCAATCAGGTGGACAAATACTCGCCGAAGACATTGGCTAAGGGTCGGGCTTTGTTGTGAATTGGCAGAAGTTAGAATTCAAAGGCCATTGGATCGGGTCACAGTGGCTTGATGGTATACGAGCTCGCCTTGTAACCAGAAGGTCCTGGGTTCGAGTCCCGGTGGGTGAGTACTGATGAAGAGTCCCAAACTAGGACGAAACAGCTGTCCAGTACTCCCACGTTTTCCAATGGTTCTCTAACTAATGTCAGCTCATGATGAAATCCTGTCAACCAATCAAATCCTACAAACCAACACTTGAATCAGGAAGACCATTGGCGATAGTAGACAGCCTTGCCTCACTCCCGTCCTCACTTCGAAGGCTTCCGTAAGTTTCCCGTTGTGGATTACTTGGCATGCAGCATTGTCGTACAACTGTCGGATGAGATGCATAATTGTCGATAGCAGCCCGTAGTAGCGAAGTAGTTATCAAATCACCTCTCGATCGGCGCTGCTCTATCGAAGGCCTTTTCAAAGTCGATGAAGTTGAGATAGAGAGGTGACTGCCATTCTAAGCTTTGTTCAATGATGATCCGTAGAGTGGTGATTTGATCAATACCTGACTTGTTTCTCCTGAATCCAGCTTGTTCCGGTAGAAGTTTTTCATCCAGGTTGGCTTGTTTAATTCTCTCCAGGATGATTCGGCTTAGTATATTGCTTGAGATAGAAAGGAGCATAATTCCGCGCCAGTTTTTGCATTGACTTAAGTGTCCTTTCTTTGGTAGTTTGAATAAGTATCCTTTCTTCCAATCCTCGGGTTCTTTACCCTCTTTCCACACATTCTCCAGCAATGGCGTCATCAAGTCCGCTGTTGTCTCTGGGTCCATTTTCAATGCTTCTGCTGGGATTCCATCTGGTCCTGCTGCTTTTCCAGCTTTTAGCATCTTGATTGCATTCAGGACTTCTAATTTCGTCGGGGGTCGATGTTCACTGGAAGTTCTGCTTCCGTTGTTGGTATTGTTGGGCGCGTTGTAGGTGGCGGTCTATTTAGAAGTCTTTTGAAGTGTTCAGCCCAGTGTTTTCTTAGCTCCACTTATTTGGTGATTGACTTTCCATTGTCATCCTTTACTGGCTTAATTTGTGTTGAACTTTTACCCGATTGGTGCCTAGTTGTTTGGTAGAGTGTGGCGAGGTCTCCTTTGCCTGCAGCTTGTTATGCTTCACTATGTGCATCAATATAATCCCTCACACTTGTCAAGTGGATACCCTCAAACCCCTTGCTTCTCATCTGATGACAGTTCTCAACCTACCAAAAATTTTAAATCGTTACTTCTAGAGTGTGGTTGACTATTAGGTAGTAATCTTTTTATCTTTCTAGAGACCACTTCTTAGTAATTACCCAATAATAGACTACTTTACGTTTTTGGTAAATGTAAACACGACAGAGTGTACAGCCTTTGAAGGTGACTTCTTCAATAAGGAAAAGTCTCTTCATTTTCTTCTGTCAGAGTTTATTCACATATGGCCTAAAGGTGTGCGGTACATCAACAACCTGATGTCTCAAGTAATCTCAAAACAAATGAAAAATTTCAAATGATTCTCAGTGTAGTCCAAGAAACGACTTGAGAGTACTTAATAGTAGAGTCGATACATAGCGCTGTCATTCTGTATGACGACTGTGAAACATTTTTTTTGGGCATATAAGTAAACATATGCAAAAATATTTTCTGATGGATATTCATAGGTAGTTATGGTTTTCGGTGGATGGTGTGATGGTGAAGGACCAAGAGCTGCTGCACAAGTATACAACCCGAAGGCAAACACATGGACATTATGGACAGAAGCTGGTCAGCAAGCTCAACCATTAGCTAATGAATGGCTTAGTTTATTGCAAGGTTCCATGACGATGACAACGGCAGCGGCCACAATGACAACACCAACAACGACAACCCCAGCCGCAATAGCTGATACATCAGAAATCACTCGTCTACAAAACGCTGTGAATACCGTAAATACAATTAATCAAATACGTAGTACATTACCATCAGATGGAATGATGACTTCTGAAGAACAGAAGGAAAATCTACTTCTCTTTCCACATAACTCACTGATAACAGAGAATTCTGGTAGTTTAATTGGTGAAATCCCAAGACGTGTTTATGCTGGTTGTGTACTGATTGATAAAAGAGTTTATTTAGTTGGTGGTTTCGATGGAAGCAGTGCATTGAAATCTACTCTATGCTATGATTTTGAAATAGACTCTGGTTGGTGAGTGATTATTCAATTCATTTTTATGTTATTCTGCTTTGTTTATATCTGCCGTTAGATCAAGTGTTTCTGTCTTTTAAACAAGCTAAACAAGTTTTATTTTCAATCATAAAGGCATAAGGATATGTATTACTGATTGGTTGATATGACTAGTTGACATACCCCTCACACCAACCAATAAGGCTTGCTAGCCAGCCAAATCAAAGTGATTCAAATACCAAAAGACGGCAGTTTTGCTCGTCAGTAGAGTACACGGTTTCACCCAGCCCAGAGAACGGAATCAGTAGAAACCACCAGAATTCTAACTAACTAGCAGCTTGGCGGAACGGCAAACTAAGAATTTGATTTGCGTATGGACGTCAAAGACTACTTACAGTCAGAAACTTGAAGACGTAGACAACTAACTACCTCAAATAACACTAAACGGAAATTCAAGACTTCTACAGCCAATACACTACACTTCATCTGGTGTCAGAGCCTTTTTAACTTTAATAGGGACTCTGGGAAAGAAAACGATTCAGTTACTTTTTTTACTCCTTTAAGTTCCCAGTGGAATATAGGGCTTCAAACTGGAAGCTTGAAGTTACGATGAGAGTGGTATTTCTTTTTACGGGATGGGGTTGCTAGTGTCATGCCCAACCTCCCTTCTTTACCAGTCTTATTACTGGTTTAATGAGGTAAAGTAGTGCGTCAACCGGGGATCGAACGTCGGACCACATAAGTGGTTGGAGAGCATTCTACCGCTGTGCTACCAACGCACCATCCAATTACTTAACAACTCTGAATGTTATTCTTTGGTTAAAATTATCGTTTACTTCAAAATCAAAGCTGTTAAAGGCACAAAAGCAAGTGTTGAGTGTTAGGCAGACAACTTGACATATTAACAAAATTTCAACACAGATGTCAAGCCGCTGCTTGTGTGTAATTCACAGACTTGGCGCGTCCTCAGTAGTATTTGCGACAGGCCACATTAGACTTTCATCAACAGTTGCATTCGCTCCATATTGAAGGTCAGATGGCTAGAAAAGATTAGCAAGAGGAAACTCTGGCAGGAAAGGGAAAAGTCAACAATCCAATTACCCAACGATTATGCAGAAGGAAATGGAGATAGATTTTACATATGCTAAGAAGACTATTCAGTGACATTAGTTGCCACGCGGTCGTATGAAACTTGAATGGGAGGTGATGGATTGTACATCCGAGAGCGAACCTGAAGTGATCATGTGAGAAGGGATGAAAGCTCGAGGATATTCTTGGATACAGATAAAAATGGCTGCAAAGAACAGGATGAAATAGCGATGTACTATGGAAGTTCTGTGTTTCACTCCGAACCCAAGGAAATAATAGTAAATGGTTCTTCAAAGGTAATTTAATCAAAAATACTACATCATTACGCATACTCAACCATCTGCTTTCTTGTAAAACACTGTCAACCGAAAACAAGATGAATTCAAAAAGAGTTAGGAGTTGTCAAACAGAAAAGTGGCACCAGCTAATGAAGTCTTTGACTGTGTGTAGGTAGTGAAGGAAAGCACAGACCACTTGGCTACAATCATCGAGGCGCCGAAAACCGACTTTCAGTGATATGCTTCAAAGACACAGATATATTCACTCATCGTTATCGTGTATATTCTGATGTTGAAAGAACTCCTGGTATTTCTATTGACAAAGTTGTGGTTTACACATTGCAACTTTCATGAAAGCAAAATTTTCTTTCGATTCCCTAAAATAGCTAAAATTCTTATACTTGGAATAAATTTATAATGACTCATTCCGCGTTGGTGCTAAACTCATCCAGAGAACTTATAACACACGCGGTATAGATAATTATAAAGTAATTCATCTATGAAATTACCCATCCGTGAAACAGAATTTTAAAAGTTACAAATATTTACAAGTCCCTTTGTACGATATTGAGGGACTCTGTTTAGCACTGTCAAGCATTCATGTGGGGGTGCTCGATGTCCGGAGATGACAAGGTGTTCGAGGACAGAGCTGCCATTCTTCTTTTCTCCCCCGGCTAACCAGCAGAGCTGCTGCTGGTACAAAGGGACTTCGCATACGCCATCCTTACATAACTGAAGCATTAGTTATCCGAAATCTGAAACCGGACCTCTGCACTCAAAAGTGATGCATACATTCTCTTGCCCTACCGTGGCCAGAGTAAAGTTCTTACTATCATTTTGCTTCTTTCTTTTTTAATTTATAAGTTCACTATTATTATTTTATTATCACTATTATTCCCATCATCCATATTTCATTGCCACTCTATTACTGTTTACTAATAACATTGCTTTTTCATACAGATTTTATATAAAAACACTCTATCGCCTTCCCGCAAGTTCCTGTCCATTCTACATGAGCTCACACTTATTACGTCATGTCAACTTCTGCCTCTTTTCTATTTTACAATTAGTCATCCCTTCTTACACCTTACATTATGTAATACGTTTTTCAAGGACAAAGTTTACCAGTATCTGAATGGTCCAAAGATCTCTTGGTTTAACATAATTACATTTAAACAGCTCATGAAAATGAATCGTCAAAAAGAAAATTTTCTTCTCTGTTTGTGCCTATTTCTTAATCTCACTACTTCTGATCTACTAGTTTGACCTATGTAATTGACCTCATAGTCACTGTAAGGTATTTTGTGGATTATATTATTTCTTTAATTGGATCCAATGGGTCCTTTAGCCCACAGAGGGTAGAGTAAAATCGTAGTTTAGCATGAATGCAATAGGAATATGAAGTAAGAAGTGGTTGAACAAACTTTTGTGATATACAAAGATCTCGCTTTTCTGTTTCAGTTGCCAACGACACGAATGCCTTGAACATGTACTGATTTGGGCACGTTATTTCTCGCCTTACAAATAATTTTAAATTCAGAGGCTGTAGACCAGATATTCAAATATTATGCTTCTTATATTCCCAGTTGCATCTGTTTGTAACCACGCTTTTGGACTAAACACACATCGTAAGGCAGTAGACTGATTGGCGAACAAGCATACTCCTGGCCAGTGTAATAATAAATCCGTTAAAAAGAGGGTCTACTTGCTGAATCACTTGTTTTAATTTCCCGTATATCCTAATGGGAGTTTTGCATGAAAATCTAATGCCTTATGTTTTAGAAAAATGTTCCACCCATCGCTTTTTCTAGATGTTCTTCTTCCTAACTGACACTGTCTCATAAATGAATTACGCAGTCATATGGGACCATTTTAAAGCTTCCCCCACTGTCTTGATTGCATCAGTAACTTTAATTACCTTGAAATAACTAGAAGATAACTGCTTCATTATTTCTGTTATGTTGCATGATGTGAAATGTGCTACACACCACTGATTCATTTTACATGCCTGTTAAAAGTCAAATGTATGGCATATGGTTTTTTTGAAGTGGCGTCTGGTATTTATTTACGCGGGTTGGTTGATTCCAACCAGCGTTACTTTGCTTTGTTTGCTCTAGGCAGCTGTATTTGGTGTGATTTTGATTCAGGTTTCATTGAGCTGATTTCATTAAGAATCGCTGTTCAACATTATGTCTAAGCATGAATGCATTGTCTATGTAGCAGGATGCTTGAATATATTTTTCATTTGAAAAACTGTTCGACATACCTATCATGCTTAGCCCACATTTCTGCGATTGGCATCAAAATGCTTTCTGTGCAGCTTGGTGTTATTAATTTGTCCATATTTGTTGTTCAAAGATGTATTAATAACTGTTTGTGGCTACAACCTCAAACTTGGCAAAACTATAGTTTCTGTAAGAAATTTCACAACATTTTTTGTGTCAATGATAATAACAAGTTGCTAACCGTCTGTTGTTGACCATTCAGAAATATTAAATTCAACAAAGGTTAGTTTGTTTTCAATTACAGTAATATATGATGAACACGTCTACTTTTAGAGGCAACAGTAGCCAACCTTCTGTCTTCATATCAGTGGACACGAATAAAGGTTTTTGAAGGAATTATGCCCAGTCACCAATATCCCAGTTGGGTTCAAGTAGAAGATGTTCAAAGTCAACTGGAAGCAGTGCAGGTTATACACATAATACAATATTCTTAGGCAACTAATACGGTATGCAATAAAGAATTGCATATGGGACTATGAACCTCAGAGGTTGAAGTATTGAGTAATAGTCTTTCATCACACTAACGGAATGAAGCGAGAAGCCAGAGGCTCAGGTTTGCTCGTCAAACCGGAAGAATTCTATTATTTGTTTCTGTAGCCCATAATACACTGATTGTCTTTCAGGCTTTCGTATACACTACAAGAAGAAGCTACACATCTTAATCGTTGCTATAGCGATCAAGTAAATAAACAAAATTGGAGCATCAAACATTGACGAAGCGACGTTTATTCAAAATAGACTAGTTTTATGTGCTATCGATGATATCAAAATGAAATATTTATTTTTCGAATGGTTTTCTTTATTTTTGTAAACAAAAATTTATCTTCAGGTATGAAATCAGTTGTATGTATGAAAAACGATATTATGTAAGTGTTGCATATGCCGACAATCATATCTACGCGCTGGGCGGTCATAATGGTGAAAATCAAGGTCGTTTGGACTCAGCAGAACGTTATACCTTACATGAAAATTTATGGCAGACAATAGCATCAATGAATCGTGTACGTAGTGATGCAGCAGCAGCCGAATTAGGTGGGAAAGTTTATGTTGCTGGTGGTTTTGAAGGTAGACGATATCATGATTCAGCTGAATATTATGATCCACAAACAAATCAATGGACATTAGTTAGTCGAATGAATTCACCTAGAGGTGGAATATCCCTTGCTCAACATAATAGCTACCTTTATGCTATTGGTGGAAATGATGGAAATAGTCGACTGAGAACAATTGAACGATATGATCCAATAGAAAGTAGATGGGAAATTGTTGGACAAATGAATCGGCGTAAAAGTAATCTCTCATCAACTGTTGTCAATGATGAAATCTACATATTAGGTGGATGGTCAGATGAACCAGAGGCTGGTATATTGGATTTAGTGGAATGCTTTGATACAGTTAGTCGTGAATGTCGAGTTGTAAGACCATTGACATTTCCGGCAAGTGCAACATGTGCATGTACATTGAAAGATCGTAATTTAGTCAAAAAGTATATACGACCATTGCCTATTCCATCTACTCACTTTTCAGGTAAACAAAATATGTATTTCATGTATAAACAGTTTCTTAGCTTTTATTATGCTTATATATGTATAAACAAATCATTATACTTAAATATGTTGCAGTGATTATGCTGTCTAGCATGACATTAATACGCATGTTAACAAAAGGATCAACTCTAGTATAAAATCACTGTCATTAAGGTGAGATACTTATTCGATAGTAGTAAGCATTAGGGATTATTAAACTAATTAATGAATTAGGATAACTGAACTATAAAACACAATATTCAACACGAAGGGATTCTTCCCAATAAATTTATTACCAAGCTGTAAAATCGTATACAGGTAGGATTTTTAATAAACTATATCACCTGCCTTCACTACATACATCAGAAAGGATTAGTACCAGGTAACTCTGGCAGAGAGCGCAACAAATATGCCTTAGGAAGTGAAAATAGACCAGACACACTCTGAGAAGACCGCTTAGTAACATCACACGTCAGGCTGTCAAGTGGAACCCGAATCGGAAACGACAAGATATGTATGAACTCGAGGTTGACATGGATGAGATCGTGTGAGGAGGAGACAACAGCTTATGAAAAGTCGTGAAGCTAGCTAAAGGGTAATGAAGAGAATAGGATGGGATGACGATGTGCTGCTGTGGTCTTGTTTTCCACCAGGCACCTAAGCGAATAATAAGAATAATATCACGTGCGGAAATTTAACCAAAAATATGTGAATTCTTATTATGATAATGTGAAATGTAATAAAATATTTGTGATTGCGATCATAGTTCAGTGTCATTCATATATAAAATAGTTCATAGAATGAATATGTCTTGGAAAGGGGTACCCAGTTTATTCGATTAATAGGTAATTAAAACATCATAAGTTTGTTAAGATAGATTCTAACATTGCAAATAACCTGCTGATTTAAGATAATAAGGTAGAAGAAGTGAAATACTACCAGAAACTGTTCTAAATAAAAACGAAATAATAATAAACGTTTAAACTACCTAGTAATCTTATAAGTTCAGTAAAATTTCACACCTCTGCTCACTGTTTCTATTATGCTTTTCTTGTACTTTCTTCTCTTGCTTCGCGTGCTACACGGAGTGTGGCGACTTGGACTTCCGCACATTTGTGCAAAGTTCTATGTCGAAAACAGACAGACAGACAGACAGACTTCATCACTTGATACTGAAGTATGATTATTATAATCACAAACATGTTATCGCATCTCATAAAATTATCAGTATAATTATTCCCACCTTTCGTTTAAATTTCTTCAAGTGATGTCGTCTCTGAAAAATCAATTATATACACGATTGTACTGCAATGGGATCGCTATTATCCCCAATAGTAACAGACATATTTATGGATAGTTCGGAACATAAAAGCATTTAATTCTGATGCTTCTAGGTTATCGTGGAGATATGTGGATGGAACATTCACCATGTTGAAATCTGAACATATCCCTCAATTTCTCGCACAAATAAACTCAACAGTAGACGGAATCCAATTCACTTCTGAGTTAGATTATGAACGAGGTGAGTTGGCCATGCCAGACCGTAGAATAAAACGAAAACAAGATGGTGGATTAGAAGCTAGTATTCATAGGGAACCGTTTAAACCAACCAACTCTCTCAGAAATCAACTTTGTCTGCTTAAAAACCCATCCGATACATCCAATTAAGAGAAATAATATAATTTACTAAATTATTATTGCTATTATTGTTCCCTTGGGTTCCTAGTGGAACATAGGGCTTCAACTGCACGTCTCCATTTGCTTGTCTTCTGCTGTACTTTTCACCTTCATCCATGTTAGTCCATACTCTTTCAACTCCTCTTCACACGATCTTCTCCATGTCACCCTAGCACTGACGTCCCACTCGCCGCTTCTCTTTCGGGTTCCACTCGAGCAATGGCCTGACGCGGGATGTCACACAGTGGCCTCCTCAGTAAGTATCCAATCCATCTCCACTTTCTCCTGCATATTTGTTGGTTGGCGATTGGTTCTTGTTTTGTTTGTTCCCATAGTTTCCTGTTGGTGATTCTTTCCGGCCCGGCCATCTGATATTCAGTATAGCGCGAAGACAGTTGTTGATGTAGGTCTGCAACCTGTTGGAAATATTCTTTGTGACTCTCCAAGTTTCTGATCCGTATAGAAGAACTGACTTTACGTTCATACTGAAAATCCGACCGAATTTTGTTGTTGATACTGAGTGACGAAGATTTCCAGATTGGTTTTAGGTTGATGTGTTTCTCGCCTACCCGATTCTCGCTCGATTTGACATCCTCGTCCGCTCCTCCTGTAGTTGAGACAATTCTCCCTAGATAAGTGAATGAAGTAACCTCTTTCAAATCCCTCCCGTTGATGATAATTGACGCTGGATGTTGCTGCTGCTGTTGTTATTGTTGGTTGGTTATTTTCATCACCTCCGTCTTGTCTATGTTCACTTGGAGTCCTGTCTTCTCCGACTGCTTCTTCGACCAGTTTGTCGGTTTTCGCTTGTAAGTCTTCGATTTTGTGACAGTGACATCAAACATAAATCATCCACGCGCGAAATCCAGGTCCTCTAGGTCCTTCACGTTGGTCCAGGATATCCATGTCTGATCGTTTCCTGCTGTTTGACGCAAAATCCAGTCGAACACAATTAGGAATATCATTGGTGATAATAAGCACCCTTGTCTGACTTCTGTGTTTACTCCAAACGCCTCTCTGAATTTTCCGTTGTGGATCACTTGACATGTGCCGTCGTCGTACAACTGTTGAATAAGATTGATGAATATTTGGGTACGCCATAGTACTCGAGTATTTCCCAAATCACTTCGTGGTCAACACTTTCGAAGGCCTTCTCAAAGTCTATAAAGTTGAGGTAGAGGTTTGATTGACATTCCATGCTTTATTCGATGATGATGCGTAGAGTTGCAGTTTGGTCAGAACATGATTCGGCTTTCCTGAATCCAGCTTGTTCTGGTCGGAGTTTTTTATGCAGTGCGTCCTTTATTCTCTCCAGGATGATGCGACTCAGGATTTCACTTGACGTAAATTAACCGAATATCATTCTGCAATGACTGTTAGGTCAGTTACAACATAGGCTAAACTCCTAGATCGGGGTCAACTAGATTGTTGGAGCATTAATTTTTCTAGACCTGAAATGATTGACCCTGACAAGTTAAATAGCCTAGAAAAAACACAGCTCAGCCATTGAAATGCATTCACTTGCATGTAATCACAAAACAGTCTGGATGGGATAGAGTGACAGAAATAAAAGCCAGTACAGCTAGGTGGAGAGACACAGAGGTTCATTGCTGAAGCCTTCTTTATAGATTCAACACCACACACGTTCAATCGGAATGACTCAGTGCCATTACCTGGAATATGGAAATCAACGAGAAACAACAGCACGAATTTGGAGACAGAGGGAAAATACATATGAGACAAATTATGAGACGCTGTAACAAAACTGATACGATTGTGAGCAGCGGTAATTTATGCTGTAAACTTTGTTATCCAGTTGTTAATACTTCATCACTTTGTGATATTTAAAATAATCTTAAATGAAATGGAAATCACAATAAATATGTTGGAAACAGTCTCTTCGCGGAGTGAATACTGTGTTCAACCATAGAGGTCAACAGTTAACATTCATGTCTTTCTTCCATTGGCATGCAAACAGCCGTATTGGTGATCATACAAAGCCTAGTTGGAATAAACGTAGCCCATTAGGCCAATATATTCTCTTCCCTTCAAATTGTGTAGACCAAAAGATCCGATCGCAAATGAAAACAAAACGGCTAACATCATATTCTAGATAGATTGGATTAATTGAGAAAAACCCTGTATCGGCCAAACAGAGATATCATCTTCATCTACGCATTCATAAATATAAAATAGCATTCATAAAATATGAAATACATTCACAGTAATTCATGTGAATAACTGTGAATATCAATCAAGTCAGCTAGGAAAATAAATGTGAACATAGTATGCAGAGGGAACACTAAGAATGCCAAGCGATTCCTAGAAGCCTAGTACCGAGATAAATTAGCAAGTGACAGATACGTGAGTGTATAGATGAAAATTTTTCAATTCATGAAGACTAAGTGAAAAGGTCAAATATATGGTCAACAAAATGATCACTACCGAAATTCTGGAGACAACGAGTCACCATCAAGATCACCGGAAAAAACGGATATATTTCATCCATCAGCAATTCCGTAAACTTACTGAACACGTTGTCTAGGAAGACAATGGAAGTTTTGGAAATCAGCTAAAAGGAATAACTCTTGTATGTTTCACCTTGAAAATAAACACCTTAGGAAAGTATACAATCAAATTCTGTTCATAAAGGCATCTAGTACATAAGCTGATATATTTTGATATAAAACACTACTCCCTAAAGATGGATTTGGAAGTTAAGATGTTTAAACATCATTATATATATCCGATATTTTCATTAACCTGATAGTGCAACTGAATACAGAACAACAAGTTCACCGGAGAGGCTATCTCTGTTCAGTAAATACATTTTTTTTCTGTTTGCCTGCATAAATGCAATTTGTACACAAATTCTTTTTTCACAAAAGAGGATAGCAACAAAACTGATGAGTTATCATAACCATAGTTGCTAATATTAATCAATGTCTAGACAAAGTTGAACAAAGGTGTTAGAGTTACGTAATCAAATGAATAATTTAATGCATTACTTGTAATCAGCAGGGATATAGAAACAAGGAGAAGTGTGACATTGTGTAAGAGTTTAAAAGGAATATAAGAGTTAGAAGAGGATGAAAAATATGTACAAAATTCAAGTTGGCTGAAAACAACAAGGATGCTACCATGAGTGTAGGAGTGGTTACATAACTTCTTTTTTATTCAGAGCTTCTCTGTAGCTTATCTGAATGACTAGAGTTTCATCAGTGTAAAGAAGATGAAGATGTTTCGTCCTGTTGCAGGTTGTTCTTCATTTTATAGATTACTTTGAACGTGGAGTTTGTTGAGATACAATGACCAGTGTTGACA